AAAAAGGGCAGCCTGAGCCGAAGGTCGAGGTGTGAAACAGCATGATAAGTCACATGGAAAACTAGAACTCAGTTACTGGGGATGGAATGGAGAGACAAAATTAGCTAGATTAAATATAAGACATCACGTCATCAATTTAAATGTGAGGATTTCTTAAAAAAAGAAATAACTTCAAGTTAAAACTAACTTCCATAGGTAACTATATTCACTATCTCACGAACAACTACAATGGAAAAGAAAGAAAAAGAATTAGATATACATACATAGATATGTATAACCAAATCACTTTACTGCACACCTGTAACTCACACACTCCTGTACATCAACTATACTTGAATTAAAAAACAAACTTCTATAACCAAAAAGAAAAAAGGTGAGGATCAAATTTTCTTTCTTGTTATTCATAAAATCGGCTATATGTCCTTCAGAAGAGTCTGAGCACTTTTTTCCGTGAGCTGACTTCTCCTTCTCTTAATTTGAATTTGAGGTGATTTCTATCATGATGTGTGCTATAGAGTTCCTGCTGTCACTTAACCCCACTATTTCTGCTGTGTTTGTATAATCATCTCTCTCATTTTGACACTCGTTTATCTTGTCCTTATTAGATGAATCTTTCCCCTTTGTAACCCTGCCCACCTTCATATTCATCCAGCTGCTCCTTCCACTTGCTCTCTTACTCTTTCTTTTCTTAATGGCATATTTGAGAACTGTTTATTGCCACTAACCTTTACAAATCTCAGTCCTACACGTGTACCTCTCTTGTTATCACACTGTTTTCTATTGTGATCTTGAGGACTTCCATTCCTGTGTAGGATCCTTTTCATCCCCATGAGAATCAGGGGGACGGTAAGTGAAAAAGCACAGGAAGGAAAAGTTAAAAACAAAACGACTTACCTCTGAAACACCAAGGACTGCTGAAGACGTGAGAGGTTCCGGTGCTGGGAAGGCAGGATGAGAAAAGCCTGAAACTTCAGTGGATGGTTGGAAAAAGGTTCTAACTGCATCTTCATTTTCACTATTAGAATTTTTGTCCTCAAAGAAGGTGCTAGTTCCTGGTTTCAAAACACCATCTTTTGCCTCTGCTATAGTGAAAACAAGGTATGGTAGATGAAATGATCTGTAATTTCTCATCAGTGAAAACACAAAAAGACAGTCTTCAAATAACTTACTGTTTATCACGGGTTCTTCCCAGACCCGAATTAGCTTGGCGAATCTTGGATGCCGGACTTTCTAGAGAAGAAAATAGCAGCTTTAAGAACAACAAATATGAAATTGAATAAAGTAACTGTAACATTCCCCATTCCTAGATGATCTAACACAAAGAGCGCTGGCTTTGGAGTCATTCAGATATGGATTCAAGTCCCAGATCTGTCATTTACCAACCTACATCTTCTCACGGGGTGAGGATTATGACAGATGACCTCAGGGGTCCCAAAATGTTACTTTCTTTACCCCTCATTGATTATTATACAAATACTATGGTATCCATTAGACGACTTTCTTGACCAAAATGATCTAGAACAAAATCTTATACCTGATAGTTTAGAGTCCTATGGAAAAAACTCACATTAAGAAATTTAAAGTGGTTGTTCTATTTTGAAATGTGCTTGCATGATTTATATATGTGTGAATGATCTCTCATGGGGGAAATATGAGAGTTTACTTTTTAGTAGTATCTTATTTGGATGAGTTAGAACAGCAAACAGTATAAGCTACTTCTATTCCATTCGCCAAAAAGCTACAGACAAATGGTTGTTCAAAGTCAGTTACTTCTAAGAAAGAGGAATAAG